CATTAAGGGTTCTCTGATATACCATTTTGTTCTCATTACTGTTTACTTTGTCATTGGTCAGAAAAAGATACACTCGATCTGTAGTCCACTGATAGGAATGGCCAATGATGTTGAGCCAAAGAACTATCCAGTGGAGAAACCCAAAATCATGAGGATCATATTATATTTTACAATTCTAAAATATAATATTAGTATCTGGGTATCATTTTTGAAATTTGATGGATAACAAACTGTTTGTTCCCCCCAAAACTCAGTGATTCAAAGTATTATCTTCTGCATCTTTTTGTTTCAATTTGGATCAATATCTGTTCACTTAACACAGAACAGGCCATTAGGTCCACATGTCTGCACTGACCATGATGCCATTCTAAACTCATCCCATCTGCCTGCACATGGTCTCTCTATGCTCTGTTTGTTCATGTGTTTATCTAAATGCCTCCTTAAATGTTGCTATTGTATCTGCTTCTACCATGTCCCCTGGCAGTGTGTTCCAGGCACCTACCACACTCTCCATTTAAAAAAAACTTGTCTCACACATCTCTTTTAAACATTCCCTGTCTTTCCTTAAACCTGTGCCCCCTAGTATTTGACATTGCCACCCCTCCTTTCATCCACCACTCCCACTCCTACCTGACCCCTCCCCAACCTGAATGGTTTCTCCCCAGTCTTTGTTCTCATCTCTTATGGGAAGTTGCCCTGTGCGAATTGGCTGAAGCACTTTTGTTCTTTTTCTTTTTCTGAGGGTAGGAAAGTCTGTGCATTAGTGGTAGTAATGTCTGTTCAGCAGCAATTAAGGGAGCGGCAGTTGCTCAGCCTCGTGTCTAGCCATGACGTTTGGCTGTTCCTGCTTCTGGCAGCATTTGTTGGCTGCTCTCGGCACAGATGGATCAGCTGAAACTAATTTTTATTCTGCTTGTTGCGTCAGTCAGCATTTCTCATCAGATATGATTAGGAATCAGTGTAATCATATTAACAAACTAAAATGTTAGAATATCTCTTCACAGTTGGACATTCTTTGTTACTTGTATGTTCAAAGGAGAGTTATGTTCATTCAAGTAGTAATAGTGAGAAATGACACTTTCTGTCGATGGTGAGCACTTCCAGTTTGTTGTGCAACATAAGCAATATGTCAGTGTTCTGGCACCTGAATCAGAAGATTGGGAATTCATCTGTTTAAAAATGTAAGCATGCAAATCAAACTGAAGCAATGCTGTATCACTGAGGGTTATTTCAATACTTCTGATCTTGACTGAAATGTTACGAACTAACGCTAACATTTTCATCCAATGTCTTGCAACAACTTTTTTGACACTACAGCACACAAATAAGCCATTCAGCCTGATTGGTTTACATTAATTTTCTGTCCCACCCAAGTTTCCTGTCAGCCGTCCATCTCTTAAAAACCCTATTCCCTTTATATTTTTTCTAGTCCTTGTATTTATCTAAGTTCCCTTTAAATAACACTTCAGGTAGTCACCTCAAGCACTCCTTTATGGTATCATATTCTACATTCCTACCATTCTTTAGATGAAATAATTTCTCCAAATTCCTGATTGAATTTATTAATAATTTTACTCTATGATCGCTTAGATTTGAATTCCCTACAAATGGAAACCAAACAAATTACATTTTAAAGGCCCCATCAGGTCACCCACCTCTCAGCCTTCTTTTTGAGAGCTGCATTCTATTCAGTGTTTTCTGATCGTTTTATCCTCACAGTTCTGGTCTCATCTTTGTAGATATTTTTGTACTTTAATGTGCTTGTTATAATTATGAACAGTACTCTATATGATCTAACCAAAGTTCTGTACAAGTTTCACACTTTTTCTCACTATTCCAAACTGTAGGAATTCTATGAAATTCTCTTTTTTTAAATTTTTTCTCCCTATGAAATAACATACCTTTGCTTATTTAAATGGTTTTATTAATCTCAGAGATGTAAGGAACAGGAAATACTTGTTTCCTTAAATTTCAGTGTCGAATGCTTTAGTAAGATCTATCAGCAGGGCAGGACTGTACAAGATGTTGCAGGAAATTGATTCTCGACAAAAGCTCCCTGATCTTATCTGCTCCTCTTATGACAACGTGCAGATAATACTGTACAATGTGACTGCAATCCTCTGGCAGTTTCGCCTTGAATACTGGAATGAAATAGTGCTGTGTCCTAGCCACCACTTTGTTTTATATCCTCTCTATGCTTCTGATTTTTTGCATTCCCTGTAGATGAGGATAGAATTTGCTTGCTTGCTTGGTCTGACAGCAAACTGTATAATTTAGCAAAGGCAATAAGTGTACTCCTCAGTGCTGATGTTGCACTACTGACTTACATGGAAATTTAGCTACAAGGGTTCCTGCATTTCCCCCAACTGCAACCTGTTCTCCCTTTCTATAGCCATCCAGACAACAGCGTTTATGGGAGAGGTTATCACACCTCTGCTCTTGATTAGTAACTAACACCCCATTAGAATT